TGGTGGGTAAAAGCAAACAGCCATCTTCACTCTTTCTCAGTCTGATCCCAGTGAAGCTGATGCAGGAGTGGATGGAGCTGTTTTTCAGTGGTAAGCCGCTGTATGAAGTGGCCAGTGTGCTGCCCACCTACTGACCCCACACCAGAACAGATCATTGAGCTGGAGAAGCTTCAAATACTCAATAATCAAGACTACAACGAGTATGTGGTACGTATTTGGAGCTCATATCATCTCTGACCATTCCATTCTTTTGAAAAACCATGTAATTGTTTCCTATGAAAATTCCTATGAATGTACATGGCAGTGCAAGTAATTCTTTCTGTCTGTTCACTTCAGGCCATGATTGGTGAGTGGATTTTGGGATGAAGAAGGCGAGAGTCGAGCCTCACCAGTGAAGAATGATATTCTGGATCATGTGTTGAGTCGTCTACAGAGCATGATAGACCGTCCCAGTGCCAGCAGTCCTCGTCCTCTGTTTCCCCGTTTCACCATCAGAGCGTGCATGCTGGAAAACCCTCTCGGGAAAAACCTCCTGCCTCTCCAGGATCAGCAACGGTAGGAGTTGATGCTTCACCATATAAGAGCTGTATTGGAAGGAAAAGTGGTATGATGCATCAGAACTGTATTAACTAAATTTTATTTGTTTATTTATTACAAGGACAGTGCATATTAACATGACAAGTCAAAATATGCCAGAGTTAGCCAAAAGGCTAGTTTTCATCTGCAGTCCTGGGCCAGATGTACAATAGGCAACCTAAAAATACAATATACATACAACAATTATAATTAAAACATAACAAACCAAAACAACTACAAAAAACCCCCCCCCCAAAAAAAAAAAAAAAAAACAATAGAATAAAAAAATCAATGTTGACATATTTGCATGCTAAAAAGCCACATTTTAAAAGAAGAACGAAATTCATTATAACTATTTAATTCTCTAACAGACGTTGGGATTGTCATTCCAAATTTCCTGACTTGCTGTTTGTATCTTTGGGAATTAGGTCTTGGGTTCCATGTGCTCTCAGCCAACGCTTTGATCCAGGATGCTCTATCAGAATATCAGAGGGAAAAACAAGTTGCGATCGAAAGCCAAAAAGCGTCACAGGTCAGGAAAACTTATTTCAGTTAATACTCTTAAGTTTCTTGAGGTAGAAACTCAACAGAACTGGTCAGATTTTTCACCAAAACCTTTATTAGAAACATTAAACATTTTATTTACTCCATTATTTACACTTTTTCTCCCATGTTGGGGCTGACCATGTATTTGCCTTGCTCAGAATAACCTGGAAAGAAATGGTTCTCCGACAGAAGGAGTTGAGCAGCCTGAGAGAGATGAAGAGAAGGAGACATCCTCTCCTCCAGAGTCAGGTTTGTGAGAATATTAGACAATTTCTAAAACTCACATTATTTACACTATCATTCTAAAGTTTGGGGTCGGTAAGATTTTTTTTTGGGGGGGGGAAAGAATACTTTTATTAATCAAGGATGCATATAGTTGATTGAAAGTGATTGTAAAGACATTTAATGTTACAAAAGAATTTGAATTTCCGTGTCTCGCCAGAAGATGGCGCTCACAGCCAAATCATCCATTCATCCATTTTCCAAACCGCTGGTTTAATGTGGCTTTTTAATTAATTATAAATCTTTTTTAATTAAGGTTTATACATGATAGTTTCCATGACAGAGTTCAAAATAATTATTTTCTTACTACTGGAGCTGCTCACTCAGTGTCCGAATTCACTCACTTGTTTTCATCCTTCAAGTGGAGTAAAGTAGGGAATAGTAAATGAGGCTATATGGGGCGATTTTGAACAATTGAAAGAAAAATAGATCACGGTTTCCACAAAAATATGAAGCAGCACAAGTGTTTTCAACATTGATAGTAAGAAATGAATGATTAGAATGATTCCTGAAGGATCATGTGACACTGAAGACTGATGCTGGAAAGTCAGCTTTGAACACAAGAATAAATTATTAATTTATAATTTTGTTTATGTATCATGTATGCATCATGTACATTTATCCCATTAATTTAACAGTGTATTAATTATTTGGTACTCTATAAATGCTCTATACTAACCCCAAAAACCCAATAAAGATAAGGTTTAAAAAGAATAATGATAGTATCTACTATTGAAATGCTCACTCAAGTTCCAATAGTAATCGACTCTTCTATCTCACACATCAGGACCGCAGAAGGCATCCGGACTTCAGGAAAAAGAAGATAAAGAAAAGGTAAAAGCAAACACATAGCCACTCTCCATCTGTATTATCAGCATTAGGCTCTTTGATATGGTTCATGACGCTCAATGCTGTGTTGTGCAGTGGTCGTTGCGAGCGCAGTGTGGTGCAGCGGTAGAGAACGCTCTTAGGACGGGAAACGCTGTTCCTGATCAACTTCTGGTCGACATCATAGTGGATGCTATCAGGTAAAGAGCTGTAATGCTTATTTATAAATAATGCTTTAGCAATTTGTTTTTTGCACAAGTTAAAATAAATGTTTGATTTAATGTATATTACATCACTACACTCTACACAAACACTCTCTGGAATATTTGATTCTGACTCGTTGATCCCAGAATAGTTTTTTGGGGTTATATATTCTGCATAATATTTCCAATGTCCCATATTTAGGATGAGATGACAATTCTGTATACATGTACAGTTAGCCAACTGATATAAATTGAGTAAAGTTCAGCTGGTCATGTGATCATGGAACTTTTGGTGAATTAATTAATTACAAATTAATAATGAATTATACAACTACTTTAAGTGTATGCCTATGCAGAACCTGATTTCACCAAGTGAAACATGTTCCTTGATCAACATATTATTTGTTGATCCTGGAACAACATTCCAATCGACCAATCAGATTTGAGGGAAAAGTTTACAGTTTATGCCAAGTTTAGGCTTACAAACAGGGTAAGGTGCTTCTACATCAGTGTTATTCACTATCATTTCCCTCTAACTTATGGGTCGAGTTAGGCTTATGGATCCGGCCAGGACCAAATTTTCGGACAGGAACGTTGTTCCAAGATCAACTAAATATGTTGACTCAGGAACGGGTCACCAGGATGTGCTATACCTAATGTATATAGTAAATCTCTACCACTAGATTGCTATATAATTGGAAAATCAATGTAAACTATATTATTGCACAGCTCTATATATAAAGTTGGATACAAAAGTATGTCCAACTTCATCCGCATACATACAGTATTCTTGTGTAGGGCGCTATAGCAAATCTCAATGGCATTATTGCATACACGTATCGTCGTAAAATGTAAACTCACCCAGCTTTAATATGCTAAATACAACTATAAGGCATGAAGTTCGTTCACACCTTGAACGATAGAGATATATTTCTAAAAATCATTCTAATATAAAAGAATAGCAGAGTCTACACACCCACAACTCTAATAATAAGATATTATAAACACTTAACATCACGATTTTCTAAAAATTAGCTTTGAAGCAAATGCATGTTATGAAAAGTGCTAGATAGATACATTTGACCTGACTTGACTTGTAGATAGTCTAGTTCTTTAAAAACCAGTTTGATCCCTCCTGCCTTGTTGTTCAGGAACATCCCTGCTGATAGTGGCTGGATTCTTGACGGGTTCCCAGTGGACATCAGTCAGGCTCAGATGCTGGAGAAAGCTCTGAACGGGACAGAACCTGATGAGACCGAGACAAAAACACAAAGCAGCTTATCCACAGATAAAAACACTCCTAAAGATCCGAGTCCTCCCTCCCCTGCACTGGACGTAGTGGTGATGTTAGACGTGTCAGATGAGCAGGTTCTGCAGCGAGCCGTGAGCCAGGACGGTGAGTTTATGCAGATTGAAATACTAGATGTTATCATGTTATCAACTTTAACAACATGACAGACATTGTTGGTTTTATCTGTGCTATCTTCACTTATTAGTAGACGGGGAGAGCAGAGGGCAGGAGAGAGAAAGCAGTGATGGTCTAGACGAAAAAACAAGTATGACAGATATGGACACACAAGATCCAGCATCCGTATCTGATGACAAAAGCCTGGGGACGAAACGGATGCAGCACAGGTGTGTGAAAACGTGCGGTTGTATATACATATACATATACATATACATATATATATATATATATATATATGAAGAGTTCAGATGCAAAAGCCTCTAAATGCCATTTGAAATTTTCTTCTTTAATGATGATTTTTATCAAACTTGTATATTTAAGTTCAGTAATTTCACTTAAATGGCAATGATAATTACCTATTAATTGTTATTTAAGTGAAATTACTGAACATAAATATACAAGTTTGATAAAACTCATCATTAAAGAAGAAAATTTCAAATGGCATTTAGAGGCTTTTGCATCTGAACTCTTCATATATATATATATATATATACATATAATATATACACATTACACACAATTACAGTTGAATAGATAACAAGCTTGAACTTAAACATATGGTGTCACCAGTTTCAATTAAAATAGATTAACATTTGATATAACATGATCAATATTAACATGATCCAGGGATTCTAGGCAAATCCTGATGTATAAAATGTCAATCTTAAATTTTTTTCTTCTTATTGAATGCTTTTTCACTTGAAAAAAAGTCATATTATGGAGAAACAATATTGTGACTTTCAGATTTTTTTAAAAGTTATTTCTAAAGCACAAAATGATCATAATTTGGTTTTCTGTTATGTTTTTTTTAATAGAATTAGTGGGTTCCATGACACATGGCCAAAACTGGAGAAATGGTTTGGTGATCAGCAGAATATTCTTGTAAAAATCACAGCAGATGTAGATGAGGAAACTCTCTTCAAAAACGTGGAGAATGTTCTGATGGACACTATGGATTCTGTTGAAAAAGGTATATCGACTTGCTTCGACTACTTAACTTTGTAAAGCATGACATGTGTTTCTAATGAATATAGTGTTTGATACACTCTATAATGAGAGTATGGAGCTCAGTTTTATTCAGAAGCCCAAACTTAGCAAAAAATTAGATGATATATTAAATGCTTAGTTTTATGGCCAAAGCTCTCTAGTTTTAATTGTGGAGTAAAAAAAAACTTTATGAAGTTTTGATGAAGAGAAAAGCCTGATGGATCATATTTGATATTCACATTTTTACATGACTTCTAAAACATGATGTATGGATGCTCAAGTAAATCAAGTGTTCATCTTGAAATAATAATTACAATATAAAAGTTATTCTTTTATTTGCAATTATTTGTCTTTTTACAATTATAGAAAAAGGCATTTCACTTGCTAAAAAGTATAGAAGGCATGTAGTACGTAGATTGTGTTCAACATTTTTCTGCAAATATGAGGCTTTATAGGGCTAAACTTCTTAATTATGAATTAAAATTCAGTTTTAATTGGTACTTGTTCAAACATGTTGTAGACATTTTCCATTCTTACCTACAACTTTAACATTATTGATGTGCACCTTGTGTAAATGCATCTCTAGTGAAGTGTGCTCTCTGCCCTGACCCATAGAAGCAGCTCTGGTTCACTCCAGGAAAATGTCTTCCTCACCCGAACACAGGCGTCCAGAAAGTGCCTGCTCTGGGAAGTCTTCACCAGTGACCCCAAAATCTGCTGGAAGGGTCTATGTGGAGGAACCCTTACCCAAGGCACATACACACACACAACACACCTTCTCTCAAAAAACTGGCAGATGCTTCCATTAAACATGGAAAAATGACACTCAAAGAGTCTGTTTGATCTATTTTTTATCAGTTTGATTCTGGTTTTTACAACCAGTAGATCGTTTTTACAAAGACTTTTGCTGATAATTTACTCACCCCCATGTCATCCAAGATGTCCACGTCTTTCTTTCTTCAGTCGAAAAGAAATTAAGGTTTTTGATGAAAACATTCCAGGATTTTCTCCATATAATGGACTTCATTGGGAACCAAACGGTTCAAGGTCCAAATGAGAGTTTCAGTGCAGCTTCAAAGAGCTTTAAACGACACCAGATGATGAATAAGGGTCTTATCTAGCGAAACGATCGCTCATTTAAAAAATAAATAAAAAAGTTTAAGTTTTATAAGCTCAAATGCTCGCCTTGCTCTGTTCTGTGATGAGCGTCCGTGACTCTCCTGTTCGAACTCGTTCATCGAAACGAACAAATCTTTTTTTGAGTCATTTGGTTTATTTGACGAAAGATTCGTTCATTTTGATTTTTGGAGTCGATAAGATTTATTTTTAAATGTTTTTGAAAGAAGTCTCTTAAGCTCACCAAAGCTGCATTTATTTGGTTAAAAATACAGTAAAAAAACTTGATATTGTGACATTTTATTAAAATGTAAAATAAGTAAAAACTGAATTTTCATTACTCGAGTCTTCAGTGTCACATGATCCTTGAGACATCATTCCAAAGCAGTGGTGCTGCTTAATATATTTAAAGAAATCATGATACATTTATTTAAGAATTTTTGATGAATAGAAAGGTATTTATATTAAACTCAAATTTAATATAAAACATCTAAGACTGTATAGTTCAATGGTTGTGAACAACTAAACTGAAACATTTTTTGGCACATAAAAAGTATAAAATGATCCATTTACATCATGTCAGTTTTTGTGTTTTTCTCTTATGTTCATCATTTTGCAGGAGATTCCAGAGTATCTTGTTCCGTACTGGGAGAACGTCTGTGTTTCATATGTGACTAACGTCAAAACAGTGATGCAGAACCTCCGCGGTGAACGCGAGCTCATCATTCACCACCTCTACAACACCCGGTGAGAGAACAGCTCTCGCCTGTGTGTGACGTGAGGCTCTGTGAATATGTGTGTGAGTGTATAACGTGTGTGTGTGTTTCAGGGAGAACTTCAGGCAGTACCTACAGAAGCCAGATCTGAAGCAGGAGTTTGTAAGCGCATGGCAGCGCGATTATAACGGCGTTCCTGACAACATCAGAGAGGATGAAGAGACCAAAGGAGAGCTTCATCAAAGACTGGATGTGAGACACTCCTGAACTGCAAAAAAATTAATTTTCTTCCTCAATATTTTTGTCTTGTTTTCCAGTACAAATATCTAAAATAAACTTGTTTTCCCTTTGAACTACATACAATTTTGACCCTATACTTTGAGTATAAAATCACTTCATTTTGTACATATTTCAATATGTATACATACATATTTCAGAAGACCCAATATCTTGTCATTTTGCTTCTCAAGTCAGTGTATCTTGATTTAAGAATGTGTACTGAAAGACAAGACTAAGAAACTTGGTTAAATCATTTTTGTAGTGTAACTCGTAAAAAAAGAAGTTTTTTGCAAGTTTATATTTTCACAGGCAAAAAAAACAAACATTTCAACACAGAAAACACAGATGTACAAAACCATAAATCATGTGTTTTGTGTGATATTTGCTGTATATTTATTTGCAGTAATAAAACAAGGAAATACATGTTATATTTGTTAAATACATCTTAAATACATGTTAAATACTTCTATGTTCAATGTTTTCAAGTATTTCAGTAGTTTTGATGTTACATGTTAAAAACCAATCAAAAAAACGTCATTTTATTTGATGGAAAAATAAAAAGTCAACAAGCAGTAGTGAAAAATGTTGACAGATGCTTAAGTTTTGGTGCAAAAAAAAAAAAAATTCAGTGAGAATTTGTTTGCTGCAGGGTTATCACAAATTAGCCACAAATAAATATGTGTCACAAAAAAAAAGTTTCAAACTTTCATTCTAATGAGTGTGTGTTTTCATTTTGTGCAGGACTTGCGTGAGCGTCTGTGGGACATCTGTGATAAACGCAAGGAAGAGGCAGAGCAGGAGAGAGCAGGAGTCATTGATGACGGCTGGTTAGATGATCACACTGCTGTACTAATCAACCAATATTCTGCATTAATGCAGGTAACACACACACACACACACACACACTCCTCTTAACACTTCACAAAACTGTCTGGGATGAGTTTGAAGTGTTTCTGTGTGTGTACAGATAGAAGTGGGCCGCTTTCAAGACTCCCTGTGTCTGCTGAGAGATTATTATTCAGCAATGTGTAAAACTGCGTTTCCTGAATCCACACGTGGCTTCACTCGCGTCCCATTGCTTGACATCACTGCAGAGGAGCATGTTGAGCAAGAGGAGTCAAAAGTGTAAAATGAAGCATTACACATCATGATTTATCTCATAATGTATGACTTTATGGCTGTGTTTAGAATAGCATTTACTAGTTTTGCAGTTTGCATTTACTAAATTTACCTATTTGCCTACATGTCCAGTATAAAACAAAGCATAGTGTGTGTGGAATATCGTATCCCAATATTAATTTTGTCACTTTCCAGTGTGGCAAAATTCATATTTTTATCATACTACCAAGTGGTGATACTTGGTCAACATTTGCAGATCTAAATATGTTCATGCTAAAACAGACTCTAAGGAACCACACTGAGAGACCTGACATGTTCAAATATTCTACACTCTTATTTCAGCGCTGGCCCTGCACTGTTAGAAAAACCTGTAAAGAGTGCTGAAGAAAAAGACTGTGAAATGGAGGACAAGAAGAAAATTAAATCGTATGTGTGCTTAGAATTTTGTGTTTGTGTGTGTTTAAAAAATAAGCATGCATGTTGAATAATTGGATGTGTTTGTGCTGCAGGTTTCCGCTGGTTTCCTGCAGATCTCCCACTTCTGAGGATCTCCACCATCCCGATGAGAAACTCCTGCAGGAGTTCTTCCAGAATGCACTCACCGCAGTCATTAGCATGGTGTGTTGGTTATTAAAAAATATATAATCATCTTTTTACTGTTGAGCTTAAAAATATGGGCCATATTTGCACTCACTGATATACATCATCTGACAGACATTTTCAATTTGTTTATCTAAAAGCAAAACCTTGCAGCATCTATTAGTTATGGCAAGAGGAATTCATGATGTAGTTCAGAGGAATGAAATATTCATAATCATGTTCAAGTAGATAGATAGATAGATAGATAGATAGATAGATAGATAGATAGATAGATAGATAGATAGATAGATAGATAGATAGATAGATAGATAGATAGATAGATAGATAGATAGATAGATAGAAAATTTATTAATCCCGGTAGGGAAACTGGTTTGCCACCAACCGTACAACCATAAACACAGTACACAACTAACAGACAAATAAATAAATAAATAAATATGCATTAAAAGAATGACAAAAACCTGATAAGACACAACTACAAGAAATATTCAATTTCACAGTGCAAAAATAATCAAACACTAACTCTATTAAAGGCCTGGATGTCACTCAATAATTAACAGTGTTCATTAAAATATCTGACTGCTGCTGGGACAAAAGATCTTCTCATCCGCTCACTAGAACACCGAGGCAGAACCAGTCGCTCACTGAAAGAGCTTCTGAGTCCCCTAAACAAATTGTGTAGTGGATGGCCTTCAAAAAGCAGGACAGTTTTCAATTTTGAATGTATCCTCTTCTCCACAGTAACCTCCAATGCATCTGGGTTAAGACCAATAACTGAACCAGCTCTCTTGATCAGTTTATTTATCCTATTTTTGTCCTCAACAGATATACTGCCCCCCCAGCAAAGTACAGCATAAAAAAGAACACTAGCTAAAATCCCTTGATAAAAAACATTTAAGAGCTTTGTGCTGATATTAAATGATCTTAGTTTTCTCAAAAAGAACAGTCTCGACTGAGCCTTCTTCATCACAACACTAGTGTTCTCTTTCCAGTTTAGTTTTTCATCCAAATGAACGCCCAAAAATTTATATGACTGCACAATCTCGATCTCTTCACCATCAATTCTAACTGGGAGGACCTTCTCTTTTTTCTTTCTGAAGTCAATCACAAGTTCTTTGGTCTTCCCAATGTTCAGTTTCAGAAAGTTTGAATCACACCAGTTATAAAAAGACTGAACCTCCATTCGGTAAGCAAGATCATCACCCTTATTAAGTAGACCTACTAAAGCAGTGTCGTCAGAAAATTTTTGTATCCAGCAGGATGGCTGACTATGCCTATAATCAGCAGTATAAAGTGAAAATAAAAAGGGGGATAAAACTGTACCCTGAGGTGCTCCCGTATTAGTTAAAATGGTATTAGAATGTTTGTTACCCATCCTAACAAACTGTGGTCGTGCTAGAAGGTAGTCTAGAATCCAGGCAATGGTTGTTTTATGCAACTTCAAATTTATTAGTTTATTAACTAAAATATGTGCCTGTATAGTGTTAAAAGCGCTCGAAAAATCAAAAAACATGATCCTAACGGAACTGGCAGTAGTTTCGAGATGACTATAAATATTGTGAAGCATGAATAGCAGTGCATCATCTACCCCCACACCCTTCCTATAAGCAAATTGCAAAGGATCCTGAAAGGCAGACACATGCCTAGTCAGATGATCCAGTACAACCCTCTCAAAACACTTCATAATCTGCGAAGTCAAAGCTATAGGCCTCAGATTAGAAAGATTGTTAGACACCTTAGCTTTTTTGGGAATAGGGACAAGACAGGATGTTTTCCACTTAACTGGGATTTTGGCAAAAGACAGAGACAGAGAAAACAATAAATGAAAAACAGAGCACAACTGGTCAGCACACACTTTTAGGGTACGTGGATGAACACCATCAGGACCTATTGCCTTATTTGGTTTAATGCGCCGTAACTGCTGACGAACCTCTTCAGTGTTAAGAAGAATAGCTGGACTGCAGTCCTCCGAGCTGTACTGCCTAAGATTAGAACGGGCATTCTCATGTAGTAAAGAAAAGTCTAATTCATCAAACCTTGCAAAAAAGGTATTGACATCATTGGCCTGTAAACCCACATTACATAAACTGGGTTTACTGGTCCCATATCCAGTAATAGATTTCATACCATTCCATAGTCCTCTTGTATTACTACAGGACATATTTCCTTCTACCTTTTCCTTATACTTTAATTTGCCCTGTCTAATAATGATTTTCAACTCTCTTTGAGCATTTTTAATTCTTTCCTTATCCCCACTGTAAAAAGCAGCTTTCTTCTTATTTATAGCAGCCTTAACTTCTCTTGTGACCCAAGGTTTGTTATTGGGAAAATTTTTGATTAATTTACAAGGGATTATAGACTCAACACAATAATTAATATAACAAGTCACTTTGTCAGAAATACTGTCCAAATCACTGTCTCCATCAAAAAAGTGTGATTGTAGGAGTGTGATTGTAGTCGGAAATCCTTGAAATGCCATTTTTGGGAACTCAAATCAATAAACAAAACTGTAAACATTTAGAAATTGAGTTGAAAATGGTTTAATGCCATGTAAATTTGTTTATACTTACAGTATGCTACTGTATAACAGAGAAAAGCCAATTAAAAAATCTCAATTACAATTCAATTATTATTATTATTGCATTATTTGCTATTTTTAATTTTATAATTTCTATAATGTTGGTTACTAATTTGAATTAATTGTTCATAAACCATTTAAAAGTTTGGGCTCAGTAAAGATTATAATAATACTTTCATTCCTCCAGGATTCTGTCAATTATATTAGAATGATTTCTGAAGGATCATGTGACACTGAAGAAAATTCAGCTTTTCCATCATAGAAATCAATTTCACTTAAATCTGTCTTCAAATCATTTTAAATCATCTGTTGTATTCATTGTGTTTCAGGTGTTGGCAGAGACGCAGCGAGAAGAGGAAGGTGATGAAGAACAGAAGCCCATAGAGACACCACAGACTTCAAACTCTGCTACGGACCGTAAGAAAGCAGGGAAAAAGAAAGGTGAAGACCCTCCACTCCATCATGCGTACGAGTTTCAGCACTGGTGTGTGTTGACATGAGGGTGTGTGTGTGTTTTAGGTGCTCCCACCCCTCCTCAGGTGCCCAGTCCTCTGCCCACAGTGGTGCAGAACCCTGAGGAGGTCAAGAGGAAGGCAGAGAGGAAAAGAATCAAACTGGAGTTCACATCCGCACTGAAACGTGAAGGTACGCCTTGAGCTATTGGCCGACATTGACATCGTCTCATGGTGCCTGTTGTGCTTTTGTATAACACTGTGTATGTCAGCAGTACAGAGCTTCAAGATGTGTTTGTGTGGGCGATGTACTGTATAAACAGTCAGAATGTGCTGTGTGTGTGTGTGCAGAACATGCGGTGAAGCTGCGTTTGGATCTGGTGAAGGCTCATGCGCTGAGAAACGTGAGCAGTCTTCAGCTGAGAGCGGAGCAGGTCTACAGGAACATGGAGGAGTGGCTGGGAGCTCGCTTTCTGTCTGAGATCAACAGGTGAGAGGAGGAGGACACGGTCTCGGCTTTCTGGAGTGTAATCCATTTAGCTGAAGGGATGAAAGATGAATGTACTTATAAATGGCTGAATATCTCAAATAAATGGGTCGTATGTCACTCCCAAAATCATAATGTAAAGCAAAAAAAAATAAAAAAAAATCCATTATTACTAACAAATTATTTATTTATTTATTAAGATTAGCATAAAAATTATTTAGTACAACAAATAACATGATGTATAAAATTATGTTTTGCAATATAAATTCTTAGTCGACTTATTTTTTTATATTTTAAATATACTTAAGCTATACACTATAGGCCAAATAAGTTTGGAATAATATATTTTAGAAAATATTTTCAAGGCTCTTATGCTCGCCAAGTCTGCATTTATTTAATCAAAATTATTGGGATTTTTATCACAATATTAATGTTGGTAATATTTTCATTTTTATTTCAATTTAAATAAAAATGTAATTTAAGCCGCTTTCAGTGTCATATGATCCTTTATAGACCATTTCACAAGATGTAAACAACACTGGTCCAGAAGCACTTCCTGTTTCAGTTTGTAACTGTTTTCTTTATTTCACATGTAAAGAAAACATCTTAAAGATGTTTGTTTAACTTTATGATTCAGTTTTAAATGTTCTGTTGGTTGTATTTTATCCCAGCTTTTATGTAGTGTTAAAAAACTGAAACAGGAAGTGCTTCTGGACCAGTGTTGTTTACATCTTGTGAAATGGTCTATAATAAGAAATATTTCTTGAGCAGCAAATCAGCATATTAGAATGATTTCTGAAGGATCATGTGAAATAGAAATTGTAGAAATATTTCACTATATTTCTGTGTTTACTGTATTTTTGATCAAATGAAGCAAGACTTATTTTAAAAACATTTTAAATTGTATTTTATTATTTTTTCAAATTTTTTAACACTTTAAACGGTAACTAAACCCCTGATCAGAGCCTGACTCCACCCACTGGCTATATTTGAAAATGCTGAAAAAGTGGACAGACCCCAGTGGAGATAGAGGGGACGAAATAAATGCTAAAACACTCTATCCTTATCGTTTTCAATACTCACAATTCACTCACAACTCCTGACCTCCTACAGTGGTTTTGACGACACAATCTGGTTTTTATACTGCCAAGGGCGTAGCTCGCGTGGTGAGCTGAAACCGGCGTACGTCACGAAGTGCGGAACATCCAATAGGAAAATTCAACTGCAGTAGCCACCTTTCAACCTGAAGAGGGCAGCACTAAGACGATTTTACACCATATATTGTAGAAATAAAACACTTTAAACACAAATGTCAAAAAAGTTACTCGAATCAATGACTGTTATTAATAAAGATCATTAACTAAAAAAAGTTGGTTTAGTGTTTAGTTACTCTTTTAATATATTTTCTTCTGTTCAATGAAAAAAAGAAAAAAGATTTATTTATTTATATACCCTTAAAACATCATATTATGTGCTTCTCATCATACTGTAGACATGTATATGTGGATAATATGTTTGCATGTGTTTGCAGTATCGACCAGCTGACAGAGTTTGTGCGGAAGCACATTGAGAATGCAGTTCAGATCCATCATGAGCTCGTGCTGCAGAGCGCTGATTTCTGCGTGGATGGAGACACACGTGTGGTGGCGAGTCCAGCATCCGTCCCGCGCCGATCGCTGCTGGAACAGCCCAGAAACAGCACTCTCACAGTCCAACAGCTGCACGTCCTCTGTGCTCAGCTGAGCAAGAGCGCCCCGACTGGTCAGACTCAGCGTTACTACACAACATGCCAGGGATAGTTCACCCAAAAATAACATTTTTGTCAGTTACATGTTTTTAGATTAAACAACTCCTTTAAATTTGGTTGCTAACATGAATTGAGCATGTTTCAGTTGGTAACTCTATTGTGTTGTGTGTTTAGGTCTGCTGTGCAGTAATGAGTTGACTGAAATTCTGCATGAATTAAGCTCTCCTCATATGGGTAGTGATGTCCTGCCTGAGCCCTGGATGCATATCACTCCCTCACAGGTAATCTTCACTCAAACACCTCCTTCTCTGACTAGCAGAGCAAATTATGGTTTATTGTGTGTCTTTGGTTGCAAACCATTGCTTAAAGTCAACATAAAAACAGAAGTTGCGATAATCTTTTGTTCCTTAATTTGACGAATATCCAAGCTCGGAAGATAAATGTAGGGCAGGAAAGCATTTTGTTCATCAGGAATTGATTGGATGGTTGTGGTTTGCTATTGGTGGATCTCATGTGAGTGACAGGTTGCTCCGCCCTCATGCAAGTGAACACATCATCAGAGAAGAGGAGATGAAGTTTTTTGTGCACATTAATAATAATAAAAAAATTATGTTCATTGTGCACTGATAAATCATTTACAAAATAAACTGCAATATTCCATAAAAAATAAGAATTGTCCATTTTGATGTCATGGTGACTTTAAGAAGAAAGTGGCTGAAATGTATTCATTTGAAAAGCAGAAGACAGAAAGTGTGTTTATTGCTTTGGCTGGGGTATATAAAAAAGAGACAACAACTTCCTGCTTAAATAGGAAATGCGTCCAAACTAAAAATTGTGGAAACAAAGGAATTCCATAGGGTCTATAAATTTATACTTGATCTGATTGGAATGTTAAATGTCAAATTGTTGGTACTAATTTACTAATATTAATAATCCACAATATGATTAGCAACTATGATACACAGACAATTATAAATGAAAGATAAACTATAAAATCAAAAGGACTTTGGTGGCACTCCAATCCAAGACAAAATGTGAAGAATACACAATTTTGAGATCATCGGTGTTAAGACATCGTAATTGACAAAAACAAATCATGTCAAATGAGATGATGCCTTACAGACAAGTCTGTTTGATTGTGTGTGTGTGTGTGTGTGTGTAGGTAGATGAGCTGGTGTGTGTATTAGCTCCGGACTCTGAGATGTTGGACTGGCGTCAGTTCCTGCTCAGCGCTGCTCTGCCGTGGCCGTTTCCCTCTCAGATCGAGCTGTTAAAAACCCTCCAGCGCTTCAGAGCCGTCGACACTGCGGGAACTGGACTCATCACACAAGAACAATACACACAGGTCTGTTACGCTCACACACATTTCACAGAACATCACTGCAACGCTCATATTAAACACATGTCCATACAGTAGTATACGACATTTTTATAATGAAAATATGGTTGCACTCTTAATTTTATTCCAATTGCTTACTACTTCTACAATTAAAATCAGTTGTAGCAAACTTCAAATATATTATTGCTCTACATTTATTTGTCCATCAGTTCAGTTTATCATCTGTTTTGTTCTATGATCAGGTTGAATTGTGGTTTTCCAGTGAAAGAGAACTTCCTGTCCCGGATGACCCAACTGAACCTCTGCCCTACGACAGACTAGCCAACCTTAAGAAGGTAATGCAACATGATCACAACACAATCTGCATTGACGTGCCTCTCAAACTGTTAGAAACTTCAGCTTTTGGGATCCATCTGAGGTGCTGAAGATCAGAAGAGTTATTTTTCCTGAGTGGTCTCAATAAATGGCCTTTTTGAGGAGGACACTTCTGAAGCTCTGAAAGTTGATTGCTCATGATTTGACTGACCCCTTTTGCTTTGAACAGTTTGAACATCACTGGATACAGTAAATACATTAACATTGATTGTTTTAAAATGTGACTCTTTGAGATGTTCTGAACATGTACAGTAATCTGTGTATGAACATGCATTTGTTTTCCCCCTTAGTTTTTCTTCTGTCTGTTTGCGAGCTCACACTCATCTCCACTGATGCTGGACTATCTGAACATGCTGCTGTATTTCTGCTGTCATCCTGAACCGGCTCAGGGCTTCACCAGAGCGCTGGGCCTCGTGATCGGACACACACTGCACTATAAACACACCGGCCCACTTACACAGGTAAAAACACACACATTTGTATGACTATCTATGTGAGGATATTCATTTATTTAATGCAATCCCTATCCCCTTACCCTAACCTCAATTATCATAACTAATTGCCTAACCTTAACTCTAAAACCAAGTCTTAACCCTCAAACAGCCCTTTAAAGGGCATCAGAAAATGAGAACTGGCCAAAACGTCCTCACAAAGATAACTGTACAAGCACAAACACCCACAGTATGACACCGTTAACACTCGTCTGAGCTGATGAGTTTGTGGGTGAATTTCACAAAACCTGTCAAGAGCCTGTTTGAGTCATATTTTACACCAAAATCAAAAGGAAGTAAATCGCTTTGGATAAAAGCGTCTGCTAAATGATTACATGTAAATACTTATTGTTTTCTACTTGTCGTTACTATAATGTGCAAGCATCATTTATTAATTACTCTTGTATTGGTTCAAACCACTGTTCCTGCTGTAGTCTGTGCCGTATTTGGAGGGCGCTGGAGTCGAGGCTGATGAAGAGGAGGAGAGAGGGGAGGAGTCTGATGAAGTGGGCGTGTCCGTTGATGATGTGCTCAGAGTTCTGAGTCGTGGAGATGATCACGTTTCTTCATATCTGAACCGATTCCAGCCGAACCGCAGGAGCAGAGATGAATTCAGAGAGGTAGAACAGAACAGCTCTGATACAAACCTATAAAGATCCATCAGCCCAACTCAAACCCCATTTCATTTGAACTATTTTAATTAGAAATATAAACAAATGATAAACTTTTCCATTTAAAATAACAAGATGGCAAAAATACTTAACAAATCCATAAACATAGCCAACAATTATAATTATAGCCAAAAGTGTGCATGTGTTATTCACTCTCATAATAGTCTCAAAAATGTAGAGCTATTTTATGAAATCTTTGTGTCTAGATGATGTTCACTGGAAAGTATCTCACACTCAGTCATTTTTGAAACAGAGCAGCCTAATCTGTTTTTCTGTAGATCAGCGGATGATCCCGAGTCTCTACAGGACTATATTTAATGTGTTGTTGTCTGTTCAGGAGCTGCTGAAGGTGTTTAAGGAGTTGGGTTTTAAGGGTGAGGAGAAGATTTCTTTCTCCACACTTTCCCAGCATCCCTTTATGCAGGATCTAATAGAAGGATCCTCACAGTACCTGCTTCCTGTGAGTATAACACACAAACATTATCTCACACACATACTACCACAGAGCTCAGTGGTGAGAGCAAATACATTTATTATTTTAGGGATTAAATGATCTAACCAGAAGATTCCAGGCACTAAATGATTAATCCATTTGAAACTTTTCAGCAAGTTTTGTGGCTTTTATTCCATGTTCCACGCAAGCTTCCAGTGTCAATAGAGAAAACACACAGAAAAATGGACTCGTCAAGCCTTTTGAAGTGTTTTTATTAATCAGTTATATATCTTGTTTCTAGGACATTCACAGAATTTTCCAGACCCAGCAAACTGAAGATCCTCGAAGCTTCTCAACATGATCAACACTCAATAACAACACACACAAGCAAGGTACATGCTAATGCTAAATTCATCATGAAAGCATGAAGAACAGTGATCTGCTGAAATTCCCCTTTAATAAACTCTAAATGTTTCTAAATGTATTTACTGTAGTGGAGATACACATTTGATTGTAGCTGTGTATTCTTGTCTCATATTACAGTGAATAATTTGATGTATTTGTGTGATTCAGAGATGAGTGATGTGGAAGCTTGCCTTGAAAAATATTCAGATAAATCAATGTAAAATCAGCATAAAACCTCAACAAAATGTAAAGTAAAAACATTATCCAAAACAATAGATATAAAGAAGAATACATGAGTGAAAGATTTGTTAAATGAATATGTTAATGAAAGCATATGAATACACAAGTATGTATGAATAACAATGTAAAGAAAATACAATACAGAATGAACAATAAAAATAAAAACTGTATCTTTAGTCTCTGCCGAATGAATAATGTTCACTGCTCTGCTGTCTTTGCACAAATCAGATGCATGACTTTACATTTGTCAAAAATAATGGTGTAATCTTATTTTTTTTTTTTAAATTGAAACTCTATAATGACAGTGAAAAAAACATATATTTTAGGTCTCTCAAAATGAAAGACTTTGTAGACCTTCCCAAAAAAGCAAGACAGACATCGTGAAAAGGTGGACAGATTCATTCAAGACTGTTCGGCATCGACCATCTCACAGTCGGTCGAATTCTGTTGATCTTCAGACGATTTGCTTTTACTGATGTAGGGTTTTAAGGCATTAACGATCTCATGCAAACCTTTTATTTTAGCCTGTGCACTGATGGATTCCAGGATAGGCTGCATGGTAAAGCCGTATTCCATAACGCTCCTAGTTTTAGTTCCTTCTTCGTTGTACTTATATCCACCAGTGTGCACACCAATCAGTTTGCAGTGTTCATCAAAAACTGGAGAGCCAGAAGATCCATGAAAGAAACAAGAATCATACGTAAACTTGTTTTCATGTGCTGAAAAGTCCCATTTCTGTTCCTTATACACCTCCATCATAACATGAATTAAATGCTTATTCACAGATGCATTTTTATCTGCAGCCTTCAGTCGATTCTCTCTCTCAATGATGAAGCAGGGGTCCATTTTCTTGACCCCTTCTCCTGGATGTCCCAAAATGCAGATATGACCTTTGTTAGGAGGGTTTGGACTGTAACTACTGAGCAATTCAGGATATACAGCAATTTCTTTAGCAGAATCTATTTTAGGAGACTCTGCAATTTCATCACCAGAATCCAATTCAAGAAGAGCATAGTCAAGATGCATGCCACCGTCAGCCTTCCCATAACAGAAAGCTATGAGTTGTTTAACTGGTATGCGCTTGACCTTTAAATCCATGTCTTCATAATCAAATACAGCTGTGTACTGTGCAACATTCTCTGGCGTAAGCTCAGTCGATATCCCAATAACATGAGCATTAGTGAGGATGAATCTGTCAAAGAGTAGGAAGCCGGTTCCTACGGCGCCCCCCCCGACTCGAATCTGACACACAGAGTCAGAGAGTCTCATGAGCTGCTTCACTTTCTTCACCTCCGAAAAATTCTCAACACTTTTATGATATTCTTCTCTGAAGAACTTCAGGACCTCAGGGTTTTTCTTTAGGTTCTCTCGCTTCTTTACCGTCTCCATTAAACCTTTAAACTGAGCACGCAGAATTCCCAGAATCTCTTTGGAATTTTGAATCTCCCTTTTAGGACCTTTTTTTTTTTGCGGTCTCTTTCTCCTTCGGGTTTTTTCTTTTTCGTTGTTGATGGGAAGCTGGAGGCTGGGGTCAACATTTTCTGTCAAAGTACTAGTTGAGGCGACTGAATCTGATTCTGTCTTGGTAGTATCTAAGACATTTTGGGTATCTGGCTGATCAATGTCACTGATAAATATTACCTTAAAATGCATTTGACTAAAATGCTTCACATCGTTTGACATTTCATGGATTTTCTCACTATCCATCTCACAGAGAGCATAGATTTTCTTGAATATATCATCAATAAATCGTCCATCACGGCTAAGAGCAGTTAAGAAATCCTCTCCTTTGAATGCATACACACAAACATCATCAACATTCAGCCTCAGATTCTTGTTTTTCATTAACAGTTTTACTGTCTCCCCTCCTGTTGTGTGGATATAAAAAGTGACAAAAGAGTCAGGATTTGAAATATCTACAGTTGGCTTATGCTCTGCAGATGCATTTCCATCCTTATTGATGAACGTTATGTTTAAGATCTCATCACTTTGAATAAGACAGCAGGGGAAATCAGTCTTCACAGCCGCTCTAGGAACTTGTCCTTTGGGTCTCTGAATGACCATTTCTTTCTTCATGTTCTTCTTTTTAATGTTCTTGAAAATATTGCTTGTATTCAGAGCCTCGAATACAGTCATGGATGTGTCGCAGGTCACTGCGTATTCATTGTGCTTGAAACGGAACTGGATATAGTGGCTTTTCCTTTGTGATTTCTGTTCATTTTAGAAAAACAGTCACATAAAAAAACACATTTGAATGCACACTTTTTTAAATACAATTTTCATTAAATTATTCATAATATAGTGTAAAGTGATATACCTGCTGAATATCATATTTTGACATTCCTGCTTTAGTATCTTTCTCCCACGAATCATTCATCCTTTCCTGTGAGAATACCAGCAGTAATGTTAAAAGAGATTTTTAAGACCAAGTAATGAAAATTTAAGAAATAAATTAAAGGGAACACAATATGTCAATTTGTTCTCTAAATATAATGTCTATGGAGAAACAATATTAGCAACATTTCAGAGTTTGAAAATACAACTTCCAACAGATATCCATTACTTTTTAATTTATTTTACAAAAAAATAAAAGAAGCTTGGATCCTTCTGTTATTTTTGTTTTATTTCCGCACAAAAAGTTTTCGTGTCGCTCGATAATCTTATAGTTGAGCCACTGTCGTCACATGGAATATTTAAACATTTTCTTCATTGACTTTCTGGGCCGTCAAAATTCAATCTCTTAGGAGCCAATGTAGCAGTGACCCACCTCTCAAATTTAATCAAAAATATCTTCATTTATGTTCCGAAGATGAACGAAGGTCTTACGGGGTTGGTACAGCATGGGGGTGAGTAATTAATGACTTAATTTTCATTTTTGGGTGAACTAACCCTTTAAGGTCAACATTTTGAACTTGTATTTTCGTACCAGCTGCAGCGCATGATCACTCTCTGAGGGCGTCTCTTCCTTAATAACTCTTGCTGAGTCTGACGTGATTGAGGCCATTCTTTCCTGCAAAATGAACAAAGAAAGTGCTCTAGTTAATGTGGCTATTCTATTTATTTTTGGCTTTGAGAATTTCAGAAAACGGTCATTTTTCATACAAACTTTCATGTGTTTTGATTAATAGGCTATACTGGTTATATTTTAGTAAGTAATGGGTGATTTTATATTCTATTGTTTTATATTAGTAGTGCAGTAGATAGTGAGGGAGTTCCCTAAAGCTTTTTAAAACACTATAAAACAAAAGACACACAAATCAATGACCTTACCTGAGCATTATGTGACGTCTCCCCAGATTCATCATCTCTGGCAGTCTGCTTTTCCTGAAAGAGAAAAACGTTTCTATTCCAACTAAGCCTAAAGCCAACGCAGTGTCTAAGCAGAGAGAATGAGAAAGATAAGTCACATGTCCTACACGACTCCGTTGAAAGGAGCTCAGAAGGTCTGTCTGCTTCAGCTTTTTGTTGGGTGGTCCTTTAGGCATGTTTTTGGCCGCTTCGAGTATCTTTCAATAGCGCAAACAAAATTGAAGATTATGTGTGGGAAGTTATAGACTCCTTTCTGAGAAGATCTATGTAAAGCTGGAGATTTATGTAGTAGTCAATAAGGTTTATTTTGGTGTAATATTGTAAGTAGAAGTCCCACACACATTTGATGAATTATTTTAAAGGGTTCATGAATTCCATTTTCAGATTTTTATATCATGTTTCTGGAGGTTCGCTCCTCCTTGCGTTGTTCAGAAACACACGTAAATGTCCACTGCTGTGAATGGCAAAGTTCCTTGCACTCTATCCACGCCCTCATTTACAGCATGTTGTGTGTGTTTTGTTGCTCAATATGGCCTGAGTCAGATTAAAATGAACCAATGAAACTACAACAATTACATCCAAGGACAAAATGGCATTACCGCTTTTCGATGCAAGATAAACCAGCAGCATGTCAGTTTTCGCTTTTGACTGATGGATTGACAACACAGATCATCAGATCAGAAACGACTACATGATTAACTAACTGTATTTGTTCTACATACATTTCTGAAATGCACTTTCTGTAAAGCTGCTTTGAAACAATATGTATTGTGAAAAGTGCTATACAAATACATTTGAATTGAATTGAATCCTTCAACATGTCTGTGGCACTGAACAGTCATTTAATATTAATTCAGAAACTTTTATAATAGGCTAAATATAAACACAACTGAAAAAGTAAAAAAGCATTCTGACAAAAATGGTCTCTGCATTCAGAAAACGAATTTCACTGTTTGATCAATGAGAATTTTAGTACAAAACTAGAGCTGAATATACCCAAAATTAGAGAAACGACTGTGTAATTTAAAGTTAAAGCTGATCCCAGTTCTCCACTGCACTCTACAATTCATCATCCTTACAATCATACTGTCTATACAACTATAGTCAAAACATGAGAACGTTTAACAGTGTCCTACCACGGTATTGGGTGAGGACCCTGCGGGCTCCACATCACCGCCAGAGCGGTCATCCATCTGTAAAAAAACAGAACCATGAACAACAAAATCTTGGTATTGATATCTTTGTAAGACTCTAATGGAGAACAATGGCAAGGAAGGGAGTGTCCGGTGAGTATCAAACCTAAAACTAACTTTCCCCCGTTTCCCGTTCCATCTTTAGCGTGACAAAAATGACGTATTATTGATGTGCGCATGCGCAGTAAGCCTTGGTAGGACAATCTGACGGGTAGGATGGAATGTCAGAACACCTGTTTGGGAACAGCAACGCCCTCACAATGGAGTCGACCATGACTCTTCACGATTCGTTAATGAATTAAATTAATAATTTACAGTATAGGATTTAATCAATCATCGAACAGGTGGGGGGTCAGGCGAGAGTAAACAGGCTTTAGATGATGCTCAAGATCGCATAATTTTCTAACGTAGAAAACAATTGGATTCCAATTTAAGAAGTCAGATACATTACAAGTTTACATTGCAAATATTAATATCCTTCTATAGGATACCTGGAAATCTTACCTTGTCCGAGTTAAAAGGGAATTTAGATGGTGTAGGAGGATAAACGTGACGACTTGACGAGTTTCTATTCTCACTTCATTCAGTCCTCGATCGCTTTGATCTGACTTCCTGCTCTCATGTTCATATCCACAGCAAAGTGAATCGAAAGTGGGCTACTGGAAATTATGATGAAACGAAAGCTATTTATTTGCATAAAGTGGCAATGAGAGGTGCATGAGCTACACCCAAAAACTTCATTTGACAGCGATTCAACGTATGATTAGATAAACGATTGTAGCCTACAAGAAACAATAGGCTACTCGCAGTAAAATAATATAATCCTAAATAATAATATAAAATAAAAAATTTTAATCAAACTTTACATTGCAATTATTATTTACTATTAGACAGAGAAATATATTAGAGTAAACAGTGAGGCCAATATATTGGGGTCTGATTAAAATAAGTAATTTTGAATATTTACCTTTTTCAAATATAGGCTATAGCCTTATTTATATTTCTGTCCACATTTCTGTCCTCAGTGAAGATGCAATTGTACAAAGTCATATTCTCAGGTCAGTCTCTCAGTGTATTTAGTATTTTCCCCCCAAATTAATTAAATACCCTTTATTTGTGTTTTATAATTCACTACATTTAGGCTATATAGCTTTTTTTCTCAACACTCAAAGTGCTTATGCATGAAAGGGAATAATCTCCTCAACAACCACCAATGTGCAGCATATCCACCAGATGTGACGACAGCACTCGCCAGTGTTAGGGGATTTACAGCTAAAGACCCAAGGACCAGATATGATAAATTATCCGGAGTCAGAAGTGCAGTCAATTTAATGATGTGATCGGTTGTTTTACATGTCAGTCAGATGTCCTCTTGGGTGATCCTTGGCCAATGAAAACTGCGATGGAGTCAAGACCTTTTGCCATCGATCTGAAGGTCTGGCTAGGATCTAAACGCAAAGTTGAATTAACTTTTTTTGTTTGTTTTATTAACTTTCAATATGTCCTAAACTTTCTGTTTTTTGGGAACTATATCAAAACTAGATTTTTAAAAGTGTAATACAAAATGTAATGTTTTATAATTAATTTGGTGTTTGAATAGCAAGATTGTTTATAAAGATTCAATATTTTCTTATTTCTTCTTTACAGGACATTCATAACATTTTTCAGACCCAACAAGCTGAAGATCCTAAAAGCTTCCCAACATGATGAGCAATCAAAACAATGCATCACACAAGGTACACGCTAATAACTGTAAGTGGAAACAATAATTAAAGCTGTATCTGTTGCATTATAGTTTTATTCATTGTAATTGATGTCTACATTCAAGGTATGAAGAACAGCGATCTGAAGTTCTGCATGAGTCCTGATTTTAACCCTCTAAGATGTTATTCTAAATATATTTATTTTAGTAGAGAGATATTTGATTGTGTATTCCTGTCTCTTATTACAGCGATTCTGTCAAATCATTTATGATCTCTTACAACAAAGACAAAACATTCAGTTTGTGCCACCATCACCCTCTGGGGGGTTTCTACCGTAAGTAACTCTTATCTTGGCTCTCGAACTAAATCTAAAATATCTTAAATTGTGTTCAGAAGATGAACAAATGTCTTACGAGCTTGGGACGACATGAGGGCGAGTCATTAATGACATAATTTTCATTTTTGGGTGAACTAACCCCTTAATCTATAGTTCTCAACTCCTTTAAAAAGTCAGACTTTATAGATTCAGGAGGAGTCATGTATATAATATTCTCTTCTTCATCTCAGGGTCTACTCTGAACAGTGCCGTACCCCTAGCCTAGGCCTACGATCCAGATAACAACCAAAACCTACCTGGGTGGGGGAGTTAGCCTTCTGTTCAGTGCACCACAGCTAGCTCTCCGCCCTCAGAGAACAGCTGTACCTGCTCACGCGAGTTCACGGCCCATTCTGTTGTGACTGGTTGGCAACCTTGACCAACTTAGTAAAGTCTGTCATGATATCGCTATACAAATCTATCTTTTTCAGACAGTCATCTTATGATACCCCGAAAGGATTCTTACTCTACAGAAATAAACAGACTGGGACAATAGAGTTTTGAGGGCAGTCCTCATTCTCAATTTATTATTTCTTGCAGAGGCAAAGCTAAATACACCACTCTTATGCCAGCTAAGTTTGAAGTTCCATAGGCCAGATACACAATTACATTTCAAGGCTTACGCTTTCTTCGTTCAATATATACTCACCTAAAGGATTATTAGGAACACCATACTGTGTTTTACCCCCTTTCGCCTTCAGAACTGCCTTCATTTTTCGTGGCATTAATTCAACAAGGTGCTGAAAGGATTCTTTTGAAATGTTGGCCAATATTGATAGCTGTGGCATTTATACGATGCCCAATTGGCACTAAGGGGCCTAAAGTGTGCCAAGAAAACATCCCCCACACCATTACACCACCACCACCAGCAGCCTGCACAGTGGGAACAAGGCATGATGGATCCATGTTCTCATTCTGTTTACGCCAAATTCTGAATGTCTCAACAGAAATCGAGACTCATCAGACCAGGCAGCATTTTTCCAGTCTTCAACTGTCCAATTTTGGTGAGCTCTTGCAAATTGTTGCCTCTTTTTCCTATTTGTAGTGGAGATGAGTGGTACCCGGTGGGGTCTTCTGCTGTTGTGGCCCATCCGCCTCAAGGTTGTGTGTGTTGTGTCTTCTTCACAAATGCTTTGCTGGATACCTCAGTTGTAACGAGTGGTTATTTCAGTCAAAGTCGCTCTTCTATCAGCTTGAATCAGTCAGCCCATTCTCCTCTGACCTCTCGCATCAACAAGGCATTTTGGCCCACAGGACTGCCGCATACTGGATGTTTTTCCCTTTTCACACCATTCTTAGTAAACCCTAGAAATGGTTGTGCGTGAAAATCCCAGTAACTGAGCAGATTGTGAAATACTCAGACCGGCCCGTCTGGCGCCAACAACCATGCCACGCTCAAAATTGCTTAAATCACCTTTCTTTCCCATTCTGACATTCAGTTTGGAGTTCAGGAGTTTGTCTTGACCAGGACCACACCCCTAAATACATTGAAGCAACTGCCATGTGATTGGTTGATTTGATAATTGCATTAATGAGAAATTGAACTGGTGTTCCTAATAATCCTTTAGGTGAGTATATGTGCTCTCTCTAAAAAAAAATCATGTGTCTTCTTTTGAGTGTTGTGGTCTGTGGCTGGCTTCTGCTTGCTCTCCTCAGAATATCTCACACAGACATCTATTCTGAGAGAGATCAATTCGGCCACATTTTATAATCACTAATGACGCACACCATCTCTACATTTGTGGACGTTGCTTCTACTTGCATCAATATATTTCCTGCGTGTGTTAATTGTTACATTAATTGCGTGAATGCTTGGGTTTACCTGTGTCAATATTTTTACTGTTTGCCTCAATGGCATTAGCAATACACACATTTTTTATTGTACATTTTATCAGTTTTCTACCTTTCTGGACATTGAACTCCTGTCTTCATTAGATTACTTCAGTAGTTACACACAACAATGCTCTTGTCCCGCAAAACATAATGCAACATACGTCATCTTTAGAGGATGTGGTATACAGCACAGTTTGTGCTTCTGTCACCTCATGAAAACTTCATGGCCTGCTTTTTATTATATATTTTCTTATAATTTTGATATTTATCTAAATGTTTATAAAAGAAAAAACAACACATTACTCTTGACAAGATAAATCAATGTAAAATCACTTTAATGCATCAACAGACATAAAAAAGTAAAAGAATATAAGAAAAATGCATATAAATATATATGAGTGAAATGAATATAGATAGTATATGAATACACACATCTGTATTAATAGCAATGTAAGGAAACTTGTAAAAAAAAAAAATTATTACTGTATTTTTAGTCTCTGCCAAATGAACAATGTTTACTGTCTGCTCTCTTCATAGGAGTCAGACCCACAAACACCTGCAGATACATGACTTTACACTTGTCAAAAATAAAAGAAACCAAGTGTAAGGTAAAAATAAGGAACAAAAAAAAAAAGGTAACCAAGCCTTTGAACACACAATCACTGAGAATTATATGATATGAGAAACCCCATTATGAAGACAATGAAAAATCTCTCAGAATTGAAGGCTTGATGTCATGTTTTCCCAAGGAAAAAATCTTCCATCATCTTCAATCTCAAAGTCGGTCTGATTCTCCTGATCCGCAGTTCCATACTCATAGCTTTTATCGCTGTAGGCTTCTAAGACATTGACGATCTCATGCAAACCTTTTATCCTAGCCTGTGCTCTGATCATATCCAGGATGGGCTGCATGGAATAGCCAAATTCAATAACGCTTCTAGTTTTACCTTTTTCTCCTGGGTACACATATCCACCAGTGTGCACACCAATCAGTTTGCATTGTTCATCAAAAACTGGAGAGCCAGAAGATCCATGAAAGAAACAAGAGTTATAATTAATCTGGTTCTCATAAATGTCCCATCTATCTTCCAAACTCCTCTGTGTGATCACATGAATGAAATCCCGATTCTCAGATACGTGTTTATCTGCAGCCTCTTGTGTTTTATCTTTCCCAATGATGAAGCAGGGGTCCATTCTCTTAATCCCACCTTCTGGATGTCCCACAATGCAGATCCCACCGCGGCTAGGAGGGGGGCCAGGACTAAAACAACTGAGCAACTCATGACGACCTGTGATTTCATCAACAGCATCCAGTTCAAGAAGAGCAAAGTCAAGACGCCTATTGTTGGGGTCTGTTATGTAACAGTAAGCAGCAATCTGTTTCTTGACCCGTACCAGCTTCACATTTGAGTCCAGACGTTCAAAATCAAATGCAGCTTCTAAAGAAAGCTTGTCTGGAGATTCGAGAAATTCCCAAATAACATGTGCGTTAGTGAGAATATATTGCCCGAAGAGTAGGAAGCCGGTTCCTCTGGCGAATCCCTCCACTCGAATCTGACACACCGAGTCAGAGAGTCTCATGAGCTGCTTTATTTTATACACCTCAGAGAAACTCGCAACACTTTTATCATATTCTGCTCTGCAGACTATTGTGTCGCTTTGGACCTCAGATTTTTTCCTTGGTTTCTCTTGCCGCTTTAATAATATATCCAGTAAAAATGGAAACTGATCACGCAGAATTCGGAGAATCTCTTCCGAGTGTGGAATTATTTTAAACGAATTTGTGGATTTCATTGTGTTTCTCTTTTGAGTTTCTTCTTGTTCAGAGTTGACGGGTTGCTGGTTAGAATCAACGTTTTCTTTCAAATCAGCGGCTGAAGCTTCGTTCATTTCAGTGCTGACATCACTCAATAAGTCTTCTTGGCTGTCTGGCTCGTTTTTATCACTGATGACAATGATCTCAAAATGCTTTCCATTAAGATGCTCTACAGTGTTTGACATTCCATAGATTGTCTCGCTCCCTAACTCACGGAGTGCACACTGTTTCTTGAATATGACATTGATGAAGCGTCCGTCACGCCGGAGAGCATCCTTCAGTTTCTGTTCTTTGGTTGCGTACACACAGACATACTCAACTTCATTCCTCAGCTCATGGTTTTTCATTAAGCGTTTCACTTTATCCCCTCCTTTTGTTTTAATGTAAAATATTACTAAGTTTTCTGATTCATTGGAGAATGAAAGCCTTCCAGTTGTTGTTTTCTTTGTATCAACATTTCCGGTACTTTTGATGAAGGTTATGTCTAAGAGCTCATCTTTTTCAATAAGACAGCAGGGGAAATCGCTCTTCACAGCAGCTTTAAGAACTTCTCCTTTGGATCTCTTGATGACTATTTCTTTCTCCATGTTTTTTTTTTTACTCTTCCTGAAAGTCTGGTTTGTATTGAGAGCATCAAGCACAGTCTTGGATGTATCACACGCCACTGCATGACTCTGATTTTTGTAGTGGAAAATGAAACTGTGGCTTTGAAACCCCTCGTTGCACTGATAAATTCAGAAGAAAAAATTATGAATAAAAGATTTCCATTAAATGATTTGCAATATTGCAAAATATTATAATATATATACAAATGATATACAGCAGTGATGAGTATCCGAACCATTTCCCAGATTTAATTTGGATCCACAAGTCACTGATCACCACAGTTCATAATGTGCACTTTTATTTTTTAAATTCTTTAATTTAGCTGTATTATTCATGAAGTAGAAGATTAGCCGCTGATTTGACAGTAATCTGAAGGACAAGAGGTAAAGGCATTTGAATTGATTAGCACCATGTACCATTTAAATTCACATACCTGCTCCATATGGCTTTTTGATGGACCCTCTTTAACTTCATCCTTGCTAAAACCGTTCTTCCTTTCCTGAGTAAATGTCAACACAACAGTACTGTTAATATGAGTCCACTATTGAAGGTTTACCATCATATTGTAAATCATAAGCAATGCAATAATTTGTCACTCTAAAAATATATGGCCTTTTAAAGATGCTATCAACTTCAAGAAGCGTTGTCTTGAGTAATTCCACACACACTTTTTCATGAGACCCTTAAAGGGATACTCCGCCGTTTTTTCAAATTAAACTATGTTATTATTACCCTAACTAAAGACTGTCACGATGCTGCGTGAGGCAAGTTCCAAATAGTTCACAAAGGCTAGCAAGTCCAAATAACAGTAGATTTATTCCAGAAGACGACGGGAGCACGCACACATCAGAGCAATACAAACAATACCGGACAACAGACAGAGCACAAGCAGGAACTAAATACACAGAGATAATTAACAAATGACTAACAGCTGTGATGAAGGTGATTGGTGTCCATGGTGACTGATCAGTGGCAGGAAACTCAGACAGGGAAACACAAATGAGGAGTGAAACTGTGACAAAGACGAGTTGATGCATACCTCTCTCGTCTCAGTGCGTGCACTCAATTGCTCTGGCGCGCGAGACACTTTGATAGCACTTAAGTTCATTCAATATGGGTCAAGCAGAGAAGCGACCAAACACCTCCACGTTTTCCCTATTTAAATGTTACACGAGTAGTGTAACTCGACCTAGGACAGTGACACAAAATAAAACGTTGCGCTTTTCTAAGCGTGTAAAGTGGATAAATATATTGTATGGCCGAATACCACAGCAAGTGCTTCGTAGCACTTTGACTCGGCACATATTTATCAATGGACTCGGCGCAGTAATATCATCACTCCGAAGAGTGAGAGGGGGGAGAGGACTTTTCACGAGTGATGATATTACTGCGGTGGCGGTCTAGGTCGAGTTACACTGCTCAAGTAACTGTATTTAAATAGGGGAAACGTGGAGGTGTTTTGTCGCTTCTCTGCTTGGCCCATATTGAATGAACTGGAGTAAGCTAAGTGCTATGAAAGTGTCTCGCACGCCAGAGCGATTGAGTGCACGCACTGAGACGACAGAGGTATGCATCATCTCGTCTTAGTTAAGAGAATAACATAGTTTAATATCAAAAAATGGTGGAGTATCCCTTTAAATAATCTTCATCCAATGATACAGATGTCAGTATGCAACAAACCTTTAAAGGGCCACGGACATTGTTTCCTTTTTTCTTTCTTGTAAGATTTGTTTTTTTCTAGAACAATGGCATAAGAAACATTCAAATAGCATGTATTATTATTCATTGAACACATTTGAATCTAATAGGCTACATTTTAGGACCTTACCAAAATTACATAGAATTTTATGATATTGCCACACAGAATTAATGAAAAGTGCACTCAAAGTATGTAAGATTGTTAGTTTCTTTAACATGCACAATTTAAAAATATGACATGTCAGAGTGCGAAGAAAAAGTATATATTTTAAGTCTATTAAAGTCATATAGGGTGGCTTTTTTTGTGACCAACTGACCTTTTTTTTAATATATATATTATTTGAATATATGCAGAAGCAAATGTGGAGGTAAAATAGTCGAGGAAAAAATATAATTTGAAATATATATTTTTAATTTTGGTCTGTTCCTCACACGGGTCAGGATCCAGAAGTCTGGGAATATAGTGCAGAAGCTATAGACTACTTTTTAAAGTGCTAATTTATGAGCAACTCAGTGTCTCTGAACTAATGATTAAAGACATGGGTCTTTGAATGAAATAAATGAAAAATCTATGGTTCTCTTGCACTTGACTTCATTAGCTGAGACATGAGTAATTACAAACTTTGTTTCTTAGATCTAAATCATTATTGAAATAGCATCGGCTTTTTACCTGTGCATTTTCACCAGTTTGTGACGCCCTTCTGGCTTCACTGTTGCTGTCAGTCGGCTTTTAATAAAATAGACATTCGACAATCTCACTATAATCATTTAGACTATAAAGGGTGCACATTTCAATACAGTGTTCAATATAAAGAATGGCAATAGCCAGACGTAAAAAAAGTTAAATATTTATAAATCAGATATATGAAGCATAATAGTTTTTAGAATTTTGTCACCGGAAAATAGTTAAAAATTTTCATCTGATGTCGATCACGAGCGGTGCTCTTCTCCATTTTTTTTTTTTCCTCCGCTGGTGTAGCTCAAGATTCAGTGTTTCTGTGAAGAGTACAGATGATGAGCTCAAGATTAATCTGGTATTACGTTACTGATTTACAGTATAGTGCACAGTTCACATAATTTGGTAAATAAAAAAATGCTTACAACCCAGTTGTGTGAAAAAATGTCAACATTTTACGGGCTACATTTATTTTTCACTCAATTGGATTGTGGGTCGAAAAGGCTATTTTTTTATCTTTAATTTCTGTGATGATAACTGGATTATTTGCTGAATTAGCAACACGAGGAGATGTGACAATCTACCTTTGGATTAGTGATTATCTGCATGCACGTATTTCTGAAAAACAGTAACTTTAGTTCAATGAAAGCCTATTGCACAGATAATTCAAAAGGCATTTGATTGAATAATCTCCTTCTCAGCCATGTTAGCAGCCCGTCTTTGAAAACCCCGTTAAAGCGCCTCACGTGATCATCACGATTCGTTCACGAACGAAAAAACTTTTATTTTCAGTGAAAACATAAAGTAGGTGTTTGCAGAGATTCAGGTTTTTATTAGTAAGATAACCGAAAGCAGTTTGTTAAATATATTTTGTTTTAAAAAGTTACCAGTTAAAGCTAAAATGAAGCAGAAGAATAAAGCAGTACGTGTCGTCTGTTCTCCTCGGTGTGTGTGAAGTGTAATCTGATCAAACCACAGAAGATGGCGCTCTAGTAAGCACATGGTTTAGGAGAGCCGCGAAATTTAAATTGTTTTTAAGAAAATTATAGTCTAATTTCTTTATCTAATGTAACGTATTGGCTTTCAATTGGTTAAACAACATTTAACTTGACCAAATGGCGACCTCTGATCGTAAAAGAGATAGAAATTCGAAGTCTAAAACAACAGTCACACCAGATAGCGTTAGCATGGAGGACCATTTCCATGACTATATATCGGCTGATGAAGACTTTACAGCCATACCTATCACCCCCAGCAAATCACCTGCTCCAAAGAAAGGTAAATCGGATCAGTTACCTACATCAGCCGCTGTAATGGAGACCACTGCAACAGAGAGCTCTGACATAGTTCTACAACTCTCGCAGCTCATTAACTCCAGATCCGATGCTTTGGAGAAATTGATCTCTGACAACACCCTGCGAATTGAGGGACTCAAGAAAACGATCGACTTTGCATGTGCTGAGATAAAGGACATTAAGGAGAAAAATACAGCTCTTGAAAAGCGCATCGCCAACGATGAGGCGCGCCTGAACTCAGCTGAGTTGCGTATAGCAGAGTTAGAGAGTTATTCACGAAGATGGAATCTCCGTTTATTCGGAGTACCGGAGTCTGATAAAGAAGATGTGCGCCAAGAAGCTATTGGCATATGTCAAGCTATCCTGCCTGCAGAGAAGGCCAAACTTCCTAGTCTCATTGACACAGTGCATCGTTTGGGACAGAAGAAAGGAAAAGAGTTGTCCAATATTGATAAACCCAGAGGAATAATCATTCAGTTCATATCCAGGGTGATTCGCGACTCTGTGTGGAAAGCGGCAAAAAAGTCTGAATACCTGAGGAGTCACGGTCTGCGTTTTGCGGAAGATCTGTCTAAAATGGACAGAGCACGACGTCTCCAGCTATGGCCTGCAGTTAATGAAGCCCGTCTCAAAGGAAAATCTGCTTACTTTGTTGGTGGACGTGCCTTTGTTGCCGGGATCGAAATTAACCCACCATAAGAGATGAGGAAAGGTATCCCTCTTTTTCTATTTTTAGGGATACAGCCCTACAAAAGTTGGATCATTAAGCTAACGTTAACGGTTTTGTTGACAGTATTTTGAATTAAATTGAAGACTGTTGGCCTATGTCTTCAAAATTATTTTTTTGTTTTGTTCATTTATTTTATACATTTGCCATCGAGACCGGAGTTAACCTATGATGAACGAGGACATGCAGCAATTTTGCTCACTTGACTGAATGGTTAATTATTTTCTGTTCGTATAAGCCAACATGGGATTTACACACATTTGCCCTCAAATAAAAACACTGGTTTCATAATTATTTTATTTGAACAAGATCAATTTTCGTGGCCATTGGAATTTTGAGTTTTTTTTTTTTTTTTTTTTTTTTCTCTACCTAGCTTACGCGGTCTCTCCTACCAGCTGTTCTTGTAATCGCACTTTTTTTGTGGATCACTTTTCACTGTCGTTCTGTCATTGTCTATAGTTACACTAAATGCCAGGGGGTTAAGGCAACATATTAAACGGAAAGCTTTATTTTTATTTGCTAAACAGCATAGGACTGATTTTTGTTTTTTTCAAGAATCTCATTCGATTCCTGATGATGTGCGTTTCTGGAGGACTCAATGGGGTAACGACATCTGGTGTGCGCATGGATCTGAGCGGTCCGCCGGTGTCGTCACTTTAAAGAACAGATTCACCGGGGAGATTTTGCATACACAGCGTGACGGATCTGGACATTATGTGTGCCATACTCTCAAAATTCATGGTTCTGTATTGCTCATTGTGAATGTTTATGGATATAATTCTAAAAGTGAAAATGATCATTTATTTGAAACTTTAGAGGAGCATATCCTTCAGGAGCTATCGAAATTCCCGGATATTTCTCTTGTCATAGGGGGTGATTTTAATACTGTTATGGACGGCTCTCTCGATTGTTTACCTGCAAGACCATCTTATAATCAAAATACAAACCTTAAACGTTTTATGGAGAGATTCAATTTGGTTGATATATGGAGGTCTAGGTTTCCTGATTCTTTGACATATACTTGGAGCAACAAGTCTGGCAACAGGCAATCTCGAATAGATTATTGGTTAGTGTCTGCGAATATACAATCTTCAGATGTCTCTGTTAATGTGATTCCTTCTCCATTCAGCGACCACAAAGCTGTTCTTATCACTATTAATTCCAGCACTTCTCCACATACCATGAGAAGTTGTTATTGGAAACTTAATAGTTCATTACTACAATACGAACATATTAAAAAAAAGGTTAAAAATCTTATTTTATGTTATTGGTATAAAGCACTTTCAGAAAAGAAATTCTGCAGTAATTGGGAGCTATTGAAATTTGACGTAGCTAAGTACTTTCGAAAACAGGGTAGCTTAATGGCAATAGAAAGACGGAATAAAGAGGACAATATTATTTCAAGGTTAGCTCTCCTTTCCTCAAAATCATGTCCAAATGAAGATGAACAAGCTGAGTTAGTCACTCTACAATTGGAGTTGGACAAATTGTATAAGAATAAGGCAGAAGGAGCCTTCACCAGGTCACGAAAGCGCTGGTTGGAGAAAGGGGAACAAAACTCTGCATATTTTTTTGGTCTAGAGAAATTTCATTCTAAAAATAATACAATTGAACAACTTAAAATAGATGGGGATGTCACAGACGACCAAGTTAAAATATCAAAATTTTGTACAGAATTTTATAGTGGTTTATATTCTTCCAAATTCTGTGATCATTCGGCTTATTTATTTCTAAATTCTATCTCTGAAATAAATTGTAAATCTGTCGACCCTGCACAAAAAGAGCTTTGTGATAGCTCAATTACTGTTGAGGAAGTCTCAAATGCTATCACACATATTAAAGTTAATAAATCTCCTGGGGTTGATGGCCTCACGGCTGAATTTTATAAAACATTTTCTGATCTTATTGCCCCGTTTCTTAAAGAAGTTTATATAGAGAGCATAGAAAATCAATGTCTTCCACCTACTTTAACTCAAGGTTTAATTACTCTTATCCCAAAACCAAAAAAAGACCCTCTGCTATTAGATAATTGGAGACCAATCTCTCTCTTAAACAATGATTATAAGATCTTTGCCTTAATTTTTGCAAATAGAATCAAATCAGTTATGGACCCCCTTATAGATGAAGCTCAATCTGGCTTCCTAAAGAAAAGACATATTTCAAATAATATAAGGTTAGTTCTAGACGTGTTGGACTATTCACATTTAAGTACTGATGATGGATTTATTCTTTTCTTGGATTTCTATAAAGCCTTCGATACAGTGGAGCATGCTTTTATTTTTAGGTCCTTACAAAAGTTTGGCTTTGGAGATTTTTTTTGTAACGCTATACAGACAATGTATAGGAATGCAAACTGTTCTATTAAACTTAAATGTGGTTCATCATCTAGATTTAATTTAAACCGTGGTATAAGGCAAGGTTGTCCCATCTCCCCTTATCTTTTCTTGTTTTGCACTCAGCTCATGAATATCCATATTAAGTCAAGCCAATTAAAAGGCATATCTTTTGCTAATAGGGAAATTATAATATCCCAGTTAGCAGACGATACTGCACTCTTTCTAAAAGATCAACATCAAGTGTCAGCAGCTCTTAAAGTAATAGATGCCTTTTCTAAAGCTTCAGGCCTTTACTTAAACATCAACAAATGTGAATTGTTATCTGTTAAAGACTGTCAATTACAACAAATTGCTAATATCCCAGTAAAGGAGACTGTGACATATTTAGGGATTGTCATTTCGAAAGACCAAAAATCTAGATGTAAGATAAATTTTGATCCCCTTCTCCAGAAAGCTAAAGCAAAGCTGAACCATTGGCTTTTGAGGGATTTATCCCTAAAAGGTAGAGTTTTGTTATGTAAAGCTGAGGGACTGTCAAGATTAGTCTATACTGCGACTTCACTCGCTGTTTCTAAGGTGATGTGTAAATCTATTGATACTGCATTATTTAATTTTCTTTGGCGAAACAAAACTCACTATATTAGGAAGTCTATAATAATGAATAATTATGAATCTGGTGGTTTAAACTTCCTTGATTTCAGTACTTTAAATAATGTTTTTAAAATAAATTGGATTAGACATTTCATTCTAAATCCGAATTCCCTTTGGAATTTTATACCCAATCTTGTTTTCTCCCAAGTAGGTGGTCTTGATTTTCTATTGATTTGCAACTATAAAATTGAGAAAATCCCTTTAAATTTGTCTTGCTTTCACAAACAAATGTTGCTGGCTTGGTCCCTTTTATATAAGCATAATTTTTCACCCCATAGATATTTAATTTGGAACAATTACAATTTATTATTTAAAAACAAAACCTTATTTTTTGAAAGATGGTTTTCAGCAGGTATAATACGAGTAGGTCAATTACTAAATCAAGAAGGTATGCTGCTAACTTACTCTGAGTTTTTAGATCTCCATAAAATTCCAGTGACGCCCAGGGAGTTTTCAATTGTCATGGATGCGATCCCTACAGGGGTCTTAGCATTATTCAGAGCTAATAACCAAACCAGTACTACACCCCTTACTTCCTTTAATTTATTTGATACTGAAATTGGGAAGATTTGTTTTGGCCCCGGAGTCGTAAATGTAAATAAAACCATTCGTTCATTGTTTCAAAAAGATATTGTCACGAGGCCAAACTGTATTGTTTACTGGAATAGACTGGTTGAAGGTCTGTTATGGAAGGCCATCTGGACTTTACCAAACAAATATTTATTGGTAAACAAAATAAAGGAAATTAGCTTTAAAATCTTACACAGGTACTACCCAGTAAATAATTTTCTTGTTAAATTTAAAAAGGATATTGATCTGAACTGTTCTTTTTGCAATACATTGCCTGAAACTTTGTTTCATCTGTTTTGGCATTGCGCTCATGTAAGAAAGTTTTGGAAAGACTTATCTAGATTTATAATTCACAATATTGACCC